AGAACTCGTGGGAATATTTATTTTGAATACTTGGAATCTTGAGGATATTTTTATTATTTGTATTTATATTGTTTGATGTTTATTCCCTCATTGTAACGAAAATTTCTTAGTGCTAAACGTGACATTTTTGCAAAAAGCAGCCACGTTCGTGGATTCACCGATTGGCCTCGGATTAGGTAGGATCGAGGGTAAGGATTAGACGACGTACTCTCCACGTATGGACGTGCGCGGGTGCGGGCCGCGGGGTCCCGGCCAGGACCCGAGTAACCCAAACCTCGGCAGGTTTTTCAGGTGCAGGTGGTTTGCCAGCATGCAAACGTATGAATAGAAGACGAACGGGTGTAGCTACTCATTGTGAACACGTAGGAGAGTGTGCCGTATACGTTTGCGCGAGCCACGCGGAGAGGAGGGTTTCTCATTTCGTTTTCTTCTTGTACTATCCGCGAAAAATGTATACGGCGGGCAGAAATGATACCAAATTTACGAAACAGAACGTTTATTTTTCTTTATTTTATCCAATTTCTGTCGACATGCGTAATTCTACAATTATAGAAAGAAAAGAGAACAAAATATTTATCTCGCTAATAAATTATGAACTATCGGCAAAATCGCGGGCGAGAACTTTATCTTGTTTCGCATTCGCCGAATAATGTATGAAAGGCAATGTATATCCGTTATATAGATAAAAGGAGAAAAATTATAATGAAAGGAGAAAAGAGAAAGATACGATGAAACGCGTTCAGAGAAAGCACACACGACGTCCCGGGCGGCGGACTGTATAATTATACTTACTCGATATCCATCGCGGATCGTCGCGGTAATCCCGTCGATTATTAACACATGCCTAGGATCAATATCTTACGCATCCTTCCTCCCCCCCCGTGTGCACCGCGCCTTATGTCAGGGTGCCCGACGTCGAGGGGCACGCGGACCAACTGCTGCACTTGGCTGCGAGGCTGCACTTTCGATAGCGCGGACGACTCGGCGGGAGCCACGCGCCGGGCCTTATGGGCCTCACGGGGTAATTAATACCCCAGACGGGGTATACGTGTATGCGAGCGTGTGTGTGTAACCGATATCGTACGCCCCCGCCGTCCGTATCTTCTCTCCTTCTTCCCTCCTTCCCCCGTCCCGCCGACTCGCCTTCTTCTTCTTTTTTTGTTCGAGATATTAGAGGCTCTTCTCCACGGAGGCCGTATGGGCCCCGTAATAATTGGCACGTGCAAAAAGGGGACGGGCCGCCCTGCTAGCACGCTGTGCGCTGCCCTTAAAATTCGACATTGGGTCAGTGATGCGCAAAATTGATCCGGTAGATCGACACGTTAGATTAATTCGCCTATCCAGCCAGGAGCAAGGAGGAGGGGGAGAGCAGCAGGTTATATTCGCTTCAAAAAACACACAAGGTGCACGGCGATGGCTCGATGACCAAGATTTGTTTAACAGTAATTAGCAACCGCTTATGAAGCGTGTCAAATAACATATCTGACGTAGAAATATAAAAATGAAAATTTTAATCAATTTATCGAACATTTTTAATTTCAATATAGTTGATATTTAATCTAAAAAATATTTATATATTAAAAGTCTAAATATCTTAACTCATGCATATTTAAGTTAAATATAATGTAAAAATTATTATATCTTGATAACTTTACATGTTGAAATAAAATATAATAAAGTGGCAAAATTTAGTGAAAATTTTAATCAAATATTATAGATGCGAACATATTAGTGAAACATAATTTTAATTCTGTTTATATTAAGAATGACTTTAAAATTATTAGTAAGAAACATTCAAATGTCTTATGAATTCAAATAGAAATACTTTCTGTTGCAATACTTTTTGAAGAAAATATAATAATTCTGATACTAATAATAATAAATACATTCTAAATACACAAATTTGATGTTTTTAAAACAACATTATTTAAAAAATTTGATAAATTTTTTACAAAAATAATATAATCTTTTCTATTCAAGAATGATATTTCTATAAAAAGATACACTTTGAGCACCGCTGTTACACACAGTTATGAGAACAGGGAGGATTGAAGGCTCGAAAGACGCTGAGGGGATTATTAAACGGTGGTAATGGCGGTAATAAACACAATTACAATAATCTCGATGCTCGCGAGGCAGCGGCTGACCTCAGCAGCAGAGGTATAAAGTGATTTAGGTATGATGTATTGCTTGACAAACGATGTCTTCATCATGCCAAGCTGCAAGTTCGAACAAGTTTCGCTCTCGAAAATCGTAAGAAAAGGACAAATCTCGCATTAATCGTATAATTAATAGTTTGCAATTTATACTCACGTGATATTCACACGGCTGCACCGATAAATTACGGGATGACCGTTATACGTATATAAAAAAAAAACGCATTAAATCAGTAATCGAGCGATTGTACGTGAGCAATCGCAATTGCGATTTTATTCCGCCCATAGACGATCGAAAGCGCGATTCGAAAGCCGCGAGAGAGATTAATCGGGCCGATTAAGCCAAGCGCGATTAAAAAAAAGAGGCGGAGATAAAGCGTCAATCGATAAGGCCGAATGCAGGCGGGCTCCGATGATCCGGAAATAAACGCGAGTCCATTAAACGGTGCCCCGGTTGTTGCCATTGGATAGCCCCCCCCCTCCCGATATAGTTGCTAACTTATCTGGCGAAATAACGGCGCCGGTTACTGTACTTATTTACCTTACGGAATAGCGCGCCGAAATCTTTTGCGCGTTTATCGCCGAGAACTATCTGCAGTACATTTATCGAGGGTAACGATACTCTTCGTGATTAATAAAAAGAAAGCGAAATACGCGCTCGAGTTGCGTGTTGCAGTTGAAATCATCTCTATCGCTACGATAATGAGCCGAGAATTATTAACAAAGTTAATACGTCTCTTAGTACATTTGTTGCATATAATATCTCTGATATAATTAAACGTTGATTAAAATATTTAGAGTTATTTCGTCACATGAGTCTCTTTGATTGAAACCACATGTTTATAATATATTAAGGATGTTCATGTAAGAAAGGATCATGTCAGGTAAATTGGTTGATCTCTTTTTTTTCTTATAACACGTTTCATTTTCATGGCAAAAAGAGATCGTACGAACAAATTCGGGTAATGTTTGTTTCTATCTCGCGCGACGATTCTCTTCGGTATTTTCAACTGTAATAAGATAATTTCAAACGCACATTTACGTTGCTTAACCGCCCGCAGTTTCTACTCACAGCATCGCGACGCGACGCAAGAATTTCTCTCCAGTCGACGGACAATACGCATTTGCACCGGCGGTGATGTCCAATCAAGTATTATAATTCGTCGTTCGCCCCAGGACGACGCATAATTTAATGCAAACAAGACCCTTAAGGATCGGGCCAGCAGCCGCTTTAAAAGTCACTGTTCACGCCTGTCACAATATTTTACGTACGAATGAACACCGGGGCCTGCGGGGGTTGCCTTTTGTGTCGCCACACGTCGCCTGTAATTTATGCCCTTTTAAATGGGGTGAACCCATCACGGAGGGTGGGAGGGAGGGAGGCTGGCTAACCACCAAAAAATCCACGGAAAAATCGTTGAATGCGTTCGCCTTCTCCCTCTCGTTCCCCTCTCCGACCCGTCCGCCTACCGAAACTTGTCGCGGGTGTAAATCACACGTGACATTGCTTTCGTTCATCTCGTGGGGTGAAAGCGAGTTCGACCGAGTGAAAATTAGGACGAGGAATTATACAGTATTTCGCGCCTTGTCGGTGAGCATCCTCGGGATCCTCGGGATCCTTGAATTCAACCTTTCTCTCGAACAGGTTCTCTCGATTTTACGGGGGAGACAAGGGATGTCGCAGTATATGACAGGGGTTGGATTAAAGCGCGGGTAAACACGCTATAGGTTTTCGTCATGGGGAACATTCGGGGGAGGAGAAACTCTTGGTTAAAAAATACTCGGAATTATGATGCATTCACGTAAACTTTTGATAGATATCGTGGGATAATTCGTCGCTTGGGATTTGATGGAATTTTAGTATGACTCTGTGAACGATTTTTTAGTTTGACTCTGTGATCAGCCATTTACATAATGACTGACGAATATTACAAATTCTAGAATAATTTTATTCGGAGTAATAAACCGTTACTTAATAAAAGTGCATTAGCATGAAATTATTTATTTAAGTCTAACAAATTTTCTAAAATTTTTCGTAATTTTTTTATTCTTTTATCACTCTTCATTCTTATAAACATCTGCATGTGTATATAACTGCGATTTATTTTGACGTGGTTAGCTCCGAGTTTGTTTGCGTTGAAAGGCTACGCTTTATCGTTGCAATTCATGTAACCATGAACGGAGGCTGCGGCGACAACAGCTTGGGTGTTATACGGGTGAAGGGCAGGTGGATCTGAATAGGCGATGGTTTAGTAGCAATAAACGTCCAATGTTGCGTTAAACATGATAGGCGAGAGGCACGTCGTTCCCTGCTGGCTGTTGACCGCGATTTTTTTCAGATTTTACCTTTGAGATTTCTTCTATGAAAGAAAAAAAATTTATCTTGTTCGAGAGTACACTTGACCCTCCTTACGACCTTAAGATTATCGGATTCACTCCTGGGTATAAATCTAAGAGCGACGACACGCTGAGACCCGAGACTGAATAGGCGATCAAGTGTAAATAAAAACCATAAATCGCTAAACGAATTTATCGTATAATTTTTTTTTTCTGTGAATTCACTTAATAATGTATATTATATCGCAAATGTATATAATATCAAAGTTTTTATTTAAGCATGATCTAAGATGATTTCGCTTGTTGATATAAATTAACAATACATATCACAGTGTCAATGTGTCAATTAATTTAAAACCAAATTTAAAATTTAATTATTTGATACACAATGACTTAAATATATATATAATGCTCTTTTATACAATTTAGTACGATTTTACACATAGCACATATACGCTTAATACAGCAAAAATATTGTTTTTAATTGATACATATTGGTTATTTCAGCGCATTCGATGGGATCGTCTATGGATTCTTCCGATTGCCGGCAATTTTCGCACACCTGTAAGTCGATCTGCTTCTTTAATTGCTTCAACTGCTGCCGTGAGCCCTGCCATTTCGTAAGTCAATAAAACACACTTTATACGCATGAGAATGGTACATTTATTACCAATAATTTTTGATCGTTTATCAATCAATGTGTTATACGCGATCGAGAAAGTGAGAGATAGGGGAAAAAGAAAGATGAAGCGTATACAATCCGATATCGAACGTGTATTGATTATGAAATTGCTCGTTTCCAACAGTGAAACGCGCACGCGATATTCTCGCGGCTACCAACTTAAACCTTCATTTATAAGACTGCGTATCTCTTAAGCTGTTTCAACAAAAAGAAACAAGGATCGTTTTTAAGGGAAAGCTGAAAGGTGAGCGTAAAGTGTGTAAGAACAGAAGAAGAAATATTTCTCGGACGCGAAATACAATTACAACGTTGCGCAGAAAATTTATCGCGGGAAGAGAAGAGGTGTGAAAAATGTATCGCAACTGTGTGTGTTCTATCAGCGAGCGTTGTAGACTCAATTCAGTTGTCACCGAATTGGTTAATTGATTTTAATTAAACCGCGATACGCGCAATCCAGTTACGGCGTACGCGCATTATGGCTAAGTTACGCTCGCGCGAAATAATTTCCGCGCCGCTGATGTACTGCGCGCGTGTGTCGGCGTGTGTGTCCGGTAACGAGGGTCGGAGAACACCCGAAATAAATTGTAATTACTATTGCCCCGGCCGCAGGCGCGTGCCACGGCATGTTATCCCTTCGTTCTTAAAGGTGCAATTAACCCTTCCGAAGTGAACGGCTCGTATAACGCTCGGCATTGTAACACGCCACTGTTTTCGGATAAATATTCAAAAGCTGATGACGACGGTGTCCTTCCTTATCGCTAAATTGACATAGCACAACTTGATTGGACCTCCTATCTTTTAATTAAAAGAGGATAACACGCACCTTTCCCTTTGCTCCCGACGTCGTGTTATAAATATTAATTAACTTTAACTTTGCTTTAAAAAAAAAGATGTAGAATGAAATTATGCATAGGAAAAATATATTCTTATAATATATAAAAAAGAGACAGTTACACGTGTAATATTAGGCCTGTTCTTTATTGTTGCACTGGAAATTTTCTTTCTCACTTTAACCAAACTTTAAATTTATGTCTATCTCATTTTAAGTACGAGTGTACACTACAAAGAACAGACCTATTATATAACTAAAAAGTAATACAATTATACTTTGAATTTTTATAGTCATCACGAAGCGAATAAAAGAGGATCATTAATTGATTATTAATTTCACTCGTATATCTTTTGGATTTGGAATCAATTCAATTTTATGACCTAGCATCACGTTTGTCATTTAAAATAGAAGTATCATAACCGGAAAAACAAGATAACTTTGCTCATATCGGAAATAAAAAGCACGTTCGGAAACCGTATAAGGCGTAAGACAACGACAGCATAAAAATTATTTGAGATAAACACAAAGGAAAGTCGTTTATTTCTCGCTGTAAAAATGAATTTTAGAGAAAGCCGGGATATATGTACATAAAATTTTACTCGTGTCGATGAATTTGGCTTTTTGCCACTTCATTACGGCGGTAGGGTGCATAATAAAAAAAGTGGAAAAACAGGAAGAAATAAAGCAGAGAGATGTCATCTCCGGCGCAGCGCGTGGCATCGAATCAGCTTGTAAACTGCCGTCGTTTCTTTCTCCTTTTTGCAGTATCTGAAATATTTCCTTGCGCTCGCGTTCCACCAGATTCGCGTAACAGGTCACCAACGGCGTGGACCGTTATCGAAAATCACGCAACCGAAATTACACTCGCGAAAGATAGCCCGCGATGAAACTGGTTCCACCGCGGAAGAGAGTTGCCGCGACTGCGGCAAAGAGACCTTCGATTAATTCGAAGAAAAAAATTGCAAATATACGAGGGCCGACTGAAAAGTAATACAGTCGTACGTAACTTGCAAACGAAAAGAGATACTTGAATGAAAAAAGGTATGAAAGTACATTATATTAGCTACAAGAGCTACATTTACTTTTCAACGTAGTCACCATTTATAACTATATACATTTCTCCCAACGGTGAACCAGTTTTTTCATCCCGTCAATAAAGAATTCCGCGGCGGTTTTTCCTTGATCCACAACCTCACTTTACCATCCGTGGTAAAATGAATGCCCTTAAGATCCCTCTCTTTAAATTCAGAAGAAGTGAAAATCGCTCTTGTAAAGGTGAAATTCGAATTCATTCCGCATACTTTCTATACTCATTGAATTTGACGCCTTACGATTTTCACTTTTTGTATACTTTAACATTTATTATATTTATTATCATTAATAATAAGAAAATGTACGTAAAATGTACATACTATAATTACATTTATACGTCATAATTTTCAGATACGATAAAAATTTGATTTATCAGATTTTAATGACACTGGATAATTACATATATTGGACAAGTAATGCAGAAAATGTTATTCACTATTAACAGCTAAACTTTGTAGAGAAATTAAATCTCTTATTTATTTGCGATGAAATAATGTTGCAGTGTATCGATATAACGGTACATGTGATTTCGAATGTTAAAGCAACGTCATCAAGCTGCACCGATAAAGATTTTAATAAGCCTGCCTCGCTATATATTCGTAATATTCTTGCAATGATAACAGCACAGTATCGCTATAAATTTTAGTCGAGCCTATATCGTGAACCTATATTCTGAGAAATCGTGTTCATTTATCATACATACTGCAACGAAAGTCATAAAATTGCGAATTATTATTTAAAGAAAAAAAAACGCAAATATGAAATATTGAATAAGCACATGCTTCCTCGCGAACAAACACAACATTTACTCCGACAATAATTACGGAGAAATTGTTCGAATAAATTATAGAATTAGGACACTTCTCAATCTGTATTACACTTTCACTTGCATCGTAATTAATGGTAATGATAATATTAATGATACATCTATAGTACCTATATTGCACACAAATAAAAATAAATAAATAACGATAAAGAAACAGTAGATCGAAATATTGCAAATGTTCATGCGAATATAAATTTCGATAGGAAGCAAGTAGAAGAGGAAATCTATAATAACGGTACTCCAAAGAGGATTCCTTCGAGTACGTCGTCACGGTTGATTTTATTTTGTTCATTATTATAACGATGCGAGATTAATGTGGCGGAAGAATCGGAGCGAGACAGCGACGTGGTGGATGCAGCGGTAGGTAATGAAGGTAATAAATGAGGGAAGCCAGAGCAAGGAAAGGGCAGGTGCGAGCGCGTGCCCCGTGATAAGGCGGATCCTTAAAGAGCTCTACATGCATACATATATGTATGCCAGCAAGAAAGGAACGTCATACAGAGGATGGCATGCGCCTTTTACACGCGTCGTGTGTCGTGCAGGCGCGGCTCTTTGTTTTATGTCGACTCTCATTGTTCACGCGTGTCGAAGGTTTCATTTTGCGGAACAGTTCCGGCACGACGAGCCTCCTTTCAATTTCGATGATCATCGATTAATCTCTCTATCGCAAATTGAAGCTGATCCGTATTTCTGATCGAATTACAGGATCCTTAATAAAGCTAAAGTGATTATGGAATTTTGCATATTACGTCGTTCCGATTAATACATTAATTAAAAATATAAGAGTCAGTATAAGAAATATAAATCAGTATAGAACAAGATAAAAATTAAGATGTTAATGAATCAAACTTCTTAATTTAATTTATAAGGCACCGAAGGAATCGAAGCTTAGGTCGAAGAGATGAAGACTTCCGTCTTCCTAGCTCCGTTCATCTAGAGCGAAAGAAAATTAATGACTGGAAGCCTTCTATCCTGTTGGGAGATAATAAGGTGCATATTCCTCGAAAATTTCCTCGTAAAGTGACCAGCTTCTCTGTGCGGCAGGTATTTTAAGCGTTTCTCACGTTAGCGTGATTGCTACCTGTACTCGAATGTGCTAATAAGACATTCCTCGGATGAAACTAAACGCCTATCTTCTCGCTACTCAAAAAAATCCGTGAGAAGAATGTGCTTAGAGAGATGTAGTCTTGATCAAGAGTATAAAACAGCTTTAAGTTGTGGTAGGTCAAATTAGTCGATAATCGTCAAGTGAAAAGTATGCATAATAAATCAATTCAATTATGCGTGACGTCTTCGATGCAATAACAAATTACGAAATATATTGTGATGAATTATGATTTAAATCATTCATTTGCAAAACTGTTATGTGTCTACATGCATTAACTTACTTCATTCACTTTGTAACTGCTCTTTTGTTAAGACGTGTTATTTATAGGTATATATTTAAATATATCTTACTATATTTTAGTAAGGAAAATAATTTATTTTCATGCTATATACTTGCCATTCTTCAATTGCATAAAAAAGTTTTATCTTTACAGAAAGGGAGCAAGATACGCGCATCGTGTGCGTCGCGAATGAAGCCCGTTCGAGGACCGACTGTGCGCGGCGCGATTTATTAAATTATACAGATCGAATGCGATGCACGCGCGAGATAACGCGGCCCTGCGGTTGTGCTGTTGTGCTGCTTCTCGCTTTTTTTTTCACTCCCCTTTATTCCGGGCTACGCTCTCTTTTTGGCGAGGTTTAAATGATAGGCGTCCAAATGTGCTTCTTTAGAAAATTTTTTAACATTTTGGTCATATAAATACTCGAATTATCTCAGATAACATTCTTGTTTCGGAAATTCTTGATGTTTTTGAAAATTTTAAATGGCTCGAAACTTTTGAAAGTCTTAAACGTTTAAAAGATCAACTAGTCGTGATTTCAATCACATATGCAGACTCAACAATAGAAAACCTTTAAGACTTTCAAACATTTTAGGTTTTTAAAATTTCCATCGTATTTAAAACTTCCGAAATATTTGAGACTTTCAATAATTTTTTTTTTAGAATAATATTTAAAACTACGAAATTTTCAAATTTTACAAGGTCAACTCTTCTGGAACTTTCCGTCTCATCTCCACGATATGACCATTTATCTGAATATGATCGACAGAAGAATAGTTCCGCTTTATGATTTTACGTGT